GCTCAGTGCTAACAATGTCACACGGGGTTCGAACCCTACTTTGTGAACTTTAGCCAGCTGCGAACGACCACTGACCACTTCAAGGTGTATGGGTTTACTCTCATCAACATTGTCCATCAACGTTTCCGGCCCATGCCCCGGCACGCGGAGATTGCCTTGAGACAATGATGTTTTCTTAATGTGTTGTTGCTGGTATTTTTGTGGTGCTTCAAGAACTTTAATATAAATTATAAATATGGGGCTTGGAGCTAATCCCTGTTGTGCTTCGTTTAATATTAATTATGTGGAGGCTTCTCATAAAGAGGTGGTGGAGGAGAAAGAGGGAGGGAGAGAGAGAGAGAGAGAGAGAGAGAGAGAGAGAGAGAGAGAGAGAGAGAGAGAGAGAGAGAGAGAGAGAGAGAGAGAGAGAGAGAGAGAGAGAGAGAGAGAGAGAGAGAGAGAGAGAGAGAGAGAGAGAGAGACAGTGACAGTGACAGTGACAGTGACAGTGACACAGACACAGACACAGACACAGACACAGACACAGATACAGACAGATACAAACAGAGATTCAGTCAGGTGGTAAGGGTGTGTTGCGTGTTTGAGTCTGTTTACTTCTGATGCCTGTCTAACCTCCTGAAGGGTCTGTTCCCACTAACGACCAAACACTAACTTGTGCTGACAGGAGGAGACGACTCCAGTACACAAGTTTCACCGCTCATAACCACCGGACACTCAGCTGGGAGAGGGGGTAGATGTGGGGATTGAACCAAGACCAGGATTCATCTTTCTTTGTTTATATACAAGAGTTCTTGCATTCTTGTACAGCCGCCAGCACGCGTAGTGTTTCGGTCATGTCCTTATTCCTATGTTCCCCAGAATATGACCCGCCAAATCGTGTAACAACCAGGTACCCATTCACTGTTGGGTGAACAGAGGCTACAGTTAAGGATTGGCGCCCAGTCAATCTTCCCCGGCTAGGCTAAGAACCCAGGCCAAAGCAATCGCGAAGCGCCGGGCGAGTGTCATACCATTGCGCAATTGAGCCCAAATCCCGGATAATTTAGTTACAAATCCCCGATGCAAATCATCGATCATTTACGCAACCACTAACGAAACCTGTCCATCTTACCCCAATCATGGCGGCTTTGTTTACATTTCCTAAACATTTCATGAGCTCGGAAGCACTACGAGGTTGTTTAACTAATAATAACCTAGAGTAGTGAAGTTTCCAAGCTCCTAGACTTTAGGAGTGAAAATAAAGCGGCCTTGATTAAACAAAGATGTATAGGTTTCGTAGGTGGTAGTATACAAGCTGGATCAGTCCACCCGTAGAACCTTTGTTGGCCAGACACAACTACAGCAGTCATCACTGGACAACTTGGTACATGGTGCTGTCCTATCCAGGTCGTTATTTTATGAGACCCAATACTAGTGGCTATATCATGCTGTCCAATCCTGGTAGTTATATCATGCTGTCCAATAATATTGGACAGTAGTACCAGTCAATCCAGTAGACAGTACCGGTCAATCCTGGTAGTTCAACTCTTCCTTCTGCTTGGTCTTGAAGGAAGCTGGCCACGGGTGAAAGAGGGCTGTGACGATATCTATCTGGAACCCATAGGTGCGGGACCGGGACGTCCACCTCCCGGGGGTCGTGCGGCCCAGGCTCAGCTTCAGGAGGCTAGGGTCGTTCATACCCTTGCTGGGGTGGTTCTTCTCCGGCCCCGACCACGGCGGTCTCCGGGTTTGGAGTCCCTGTGCCTTCTTTCACCAACTTTAAGGTCAACTCCGGAGCTCTAAGTTCCTGCGACGGCGCTGGAACCAATCGCATTGGTGTTTGCCTTTCCATTGGAGACTTTCGGCGCCGTGGAGAGGGGGGACCTGCTGCCTGGGTAACAGCTTCTCAGTATCAGCGTACAGTGGCTTTGCGCCCTGGAGAGGCCACGCCAGACCGATAACCAGAGCTCATAAACAGATAGATAACCAGATAAATTCTGGTAGTTATATTATGCTGTCCAATCCTAGGAGACATATCATGCTGTCCAATCCTGGTAGTTATATTATGCTGTCCAATCCTGGTAGTTATATTATGCTGTCCAATCCTGGTAGTTATATTGTGCTGTCCAATCCTGGTACTTATATTGTGCTGTCCAATCCTGGTAGTTATATTGTGCTGTCCAATCCTGGTAGTTATATTGTGCTGTCCAATCCTGGTAGTTATATTGTGCTGTCCAATCCTGGTACTTATATTGTGCTGTCCAATCCTGGTAGTTATATTGTGCTGTCCAATCCTGGTAGTTATATTGTGCTGTCCAATCCTGGTAGTTATATTGTGCTGTCCAATCCTGGTAGTTATATTGTGCTGTCCAATCCTGGTACTTATATTGTGCTGTCCAATCCTGGTACTTATATTGTGCTGTCCAATCCTGGTAGTTATATTGTGCTGTCCAATCCTGGTACTTATATTGTGCTGTCCAATCCTGGTACTTATATTGTGCTGTCCAATCCTGGTACTTATATTGTGCTGTCCAATCCTAGGAGTTATATTATGCTGTCCAATCCTGGTAGTAATATCATGCTGTCCAATCCTGGTAGTTATATTATGCTATCCAATCCTGGTACTTATATTGTGCTGACCAATCCTGATAGTTATTATGCTGTCTAATTCTGGTAGTTACATTATGCTGTCCAATCCTGGTACTTATATTGTGCTGTCCAATCCTGGTAGTTATATTTTATATCATGCTGTCCAATCCTGGTAGTTATATTGTGCTGTCCAATCCTGGTAGTTATATTGTGCTGTCCAATCCTGGTAGTTATATTGTGCTGTCCAATCCTGGTAGTTATATCATGCTGTCCAATCCTGGTAGTAATATCATGCTGTCCAATCCTGGTAGTTATATTGTGCTGTCCAATCCTGGTACTTATATTGTGCTGTCCAATCCTGGTAGTTATATTGTGCTGTCCAATCCTGGTAGTTATATTGTGCTGTCCAATCCTGGTACTTATATTGTGCTGTCCAATCCTGGTAGTTATATTGTGCTGTCCAATCCTGGTACTTATATTGTGCTGTCCAATCCTGGTACTTATATTGTGCTGTCCAATCCTGGTAGTTATATTGTGCTGTCCAATCCTGGTAGTTATATTATACTGTCCAATCCTGGTAGTTATATTGTGCTGTCCAATCCTGGTAGTTATATTGTGCTGTCCAATCCTGGTACTTATATTGTGCTGTCCAATCCTGGTACTTATATTGTGCTGTCCAATCCTGGTACTTATATTGTGCTGTCCAATCCTGGTACTTATATTGTGCTGTCCAATCCTGGTACTTATATTGTGCTGTCCAATCCTGGTAGTTATATTGTGCTGTCCAATCCTGGTACTTATATTGTGCTGTCCAATCCTGGTAGTTATATTGTGCTGTCCAATCCTGGTACTTATATTGTGCTGTCCAATCCTGGTACTTATATTGTGCTGTCCAATCCTAGGAGTTATATTATGCTGTCCAATCCTGGTAGTAATATCATGCTGTCCAATCCTGGTAGTTATATTATGCTGTCCAATCCTGGTACTTATATTGTGCTGACCAATCCTGGTAGTTATATTGTGCTGTCCAATCCTGGTACTTATATTGTGCTGTCCAATCCTGGTAGTTATATTATGCTGTCCAATCCTGGTAGTAATATCATGCTGTCCAATCCTGGTAGTTATATTATGCTATCCAATCCTGGTACTTATATTGTGCTGACCAATCCTGGTAGTTATTATGCTGTCTAATTCTGGTAGTTACATTATGCTGTCCAATCCTGGTAGTTATATTATGCGGTTCAAACTTGGTAGTTATATCATGCTGTTCAATCCTGGTAGCTACATCATGATGTTCACTCCTGGTAGTTATATCATGCTGTCCAGTTATATCTACCGGACTCTGTATACCATGATTACCGAGACCGGTGGAACAGTGTATTAAGGTAACACAATAGAGGTGGGGGTCACTTCATTGCAAATTGGCATCCTGAATGTTGACGAAAAAGTCTCCATTTATCCTTAGGACGTTGCATCCAAGATGCTTGCAATATTTAAGCTGTACTTCATTCGTAACATAAGTGGCTGCTGTGCTCTATAAAGCTTAATTCCCCCAACTACTAAACGGGGTTGAAAGCCATGGATAATTGCCTGGTTGAAGTCACGAGTCTTGAATGTATCTTTCAGTCAACTGTCCACTTGAAAGATCTTATCACAGAAAGCTTCAGTTTCTTCCACAGTACCATGAGCTTCAGCTTCAGAAAGCTTCAACTTCTCCCCCAGTACGATAAGTTTCAGCTTCTCCCCCAGTACCATGAGCTTCAGCTTCAGAAAGCTTCAGCTTCAGAAAGCTTCAGCTTCTCCCCCAGTACGATAAGCTTCAGCTTCAGAAAGCTTCAACTTCTCCCCCATTACGATAAGCTTCAGCTTCTCCCCCAGTACCATGAGCTTCAGCTTCTCCCCCAGTATCATGAGCTTCAGCTTCAGAAAGCTTCAACTTCTCCCCCATTACGATAAGCTTCAGCTTCTCCCCCAGTACCATGAGCTTCAGCTTCTCCCCCAGTATCATGAGCTTCAGCTTCAGAAAGCTTCAGCTTCTCCCCCAGTACCATGAGCTTCAGCTTCAGAAAGCTTCAGCTTCTCCCCCAGTACCATGAGCTTCAGCTTCAGAAAGCTTCAGCTTCTCCCCCAGTACCATGAGCTTCAGCTTCTCCCCCAGTATCATGAGCTTCAGCTTCAGAAAGCTTCAGCTTCTCCCCCAGTACCATGAGCTTCAGCTTCAGAAAGCTTCAGCTTCTCCCCCAGTACCATGAGCTTCAGCTTCAGAAAGCTTCAGCTTCTCCCCCCAGTACCATGAGCTTCAGCTTCTCCCCCAGTATCATGAGCTTCAGCTTCAGAAAGCTTCAGCTTCTCCCCCAGTACCATGAGCTTCAGCTTCTCCCCCAGTATCATGAGCTTCAGCTTCAGAAAGCTTCAGCTTCTCCCCCAGTACCATGAGCTTCAGCTTCAGAAAGCTTCAGCTTCTCCCCCAGTACCATGAGCTTCAGCTTCAGAAAGCTTCAACTTCTCCCCCAGTACGATAAGCTTCAGCTTCTCCCCCAGTACCATGAGCTTCAGCTTCAGAAATCTTCAGCTTCTCCCCCTCTGTGGGCTTGAGTGTGAAGGCTCAGGCCCACAGATGGTTTAAGCTATATATATATAGCCAGTATGATAGCTCTGGCTCCAAGATGGCTCCAGCTTTATCACTGTGCACATTGCGACAGCTGCGGTCCTCAGACCCTTCACGTTTATCCCTGTGTCCACTACTATGGGGGTAGCCGGCCTGGCTCACGGGACTGAAGCAATATCTTTACTACACACTTTCATCACTGTAACCATTTCCATTACATGATAGATTCACCACTGTAACTATCTTCTGTACACTGATACCGCTGGGCTATCCCATCTACAGAATCTCTCTCCTTCACCACCTTCCCTCTCCTTCACCACCTTCCCTCTCCTTCACCACCTTCCCTCTCCTTCACCACCTTCCCTCTCCTTCACCACCTTCCCTCTCCATCATCACCTTCCCTCTCCTTCACCACCTTCCCTCTCCTTCACCACCTTCCCTCTCCTTCACCACCTTCCCTCTCCATCACCTCCTTCCCTCTCCTTCACCACCTTCCCTCTCCATCACCGCCTTCCCTCTCCTTCACCACCTTCCCTTTCCATCACAACCTTCCCTCTCCTTTACCACCTTCCCTCTCCTTCACCACCTTCCCTCTCCTTCACCACCTTCCCTCTCCTTCACTACCTTCCCTCTCCTTCACCGCCTTCCCTCTCCTTCACCACCTTCCCTCTCCCTCACCACCTTCCCTCTCCATCACCACCTTCCCTCTCCTTCACCACCTTCCCTTTCCTTCACCACCTTCCCTCTCCTTCACCACCTTCCATCTCTCCATCACCACCTTCCCTCTCCATCACCACCTTCCCTCTCCTTCACCACCTTCCCTCTCCTTCACCACCTTCCCTCTCCTTCACCGCCTTCCCTCTCCATCACCACCTTCCCTCTCCATCACCACCTTCCCTCTCCATCACCACCTTCCCTTCTCTACCTCCTCACTGTCTTCTTCAATAAGTTACATAAGAGAAATTAAAATGTAATCATCAGTAGTGGAAGTGAGGACAATAACCAGCTTTTTTGGTTTTGGGTGAAAAAGCCGGTTGCCTGTGACCGGACTATTGTAGATCCGGACAAATCCGGCAGTGATACACAGGTGCTTTGGAGGAAATAGGATACCAAATGAAATAAATAATAATGTATATAGGCATAAAGTATTCTGGAAAAATTCTTGTGAGGTTGGACGTTAGTTCAGGGGCCCCGCCTTTGGATGTAATTTTGTAAACATTTGGCAAGCAGTTATGAAACATAAAATAGTTACCCAGAACCTGGTTCATGTATATAGTTCCGTAAGTGTTCATTCGACAGAAATTTGATTTAAAACATAATGTAGAAGAGAGTCAATTAATTTAATGTAGTTCTTGAGCTCCGCTTCTCGTTCCAAGTCTTAGTTAACCATTATACTTTTCTTTTCTATTTTGTTGACAGTTATATCATTTAAAACATAGTTTGTTTTGTCTAATAACAAGATGTAGTTCTTGGGTACTGGCTCTAATCCCAAGACGTAGTTTTGCTTTGTAGTTTCGTATCCAGTATTCCCATGAATATAACATTACCAGCGGAGATACATTGTGACTTTCAGTATTTGACACCAACAAGCGATGTGTAAGCAAAGTTATTGTGGTGAAATTATTTAACAACATATTGAGTGTGTAAGAAGGCGTGTAATGCTCGTACCTCCACCTTGCTTCCCCTCCCCTCCCCTCTCACTTCTTCCTCCTTCCCTTCCTCTCCTCTCCTCCCTCCACTCTTTCACTTGAGGGCCCTCTGAGAGGGTCCACTTGCACCTGTACCCAGAGTTCCCTCCACACACTCTCACGACACATCCTCCTCCTGACTACCTCGTACACCTGCCTCTACTTGCTCTTCCACCCACACATGCACCGTCCACCCCTACTGGAACGTACCTCCCACCACCCCCCCCCCTTTCCATCCTCACTGCTTCTCTGTTACGCAACGTCCAACTTCCTGTCTCTCTCTCTCTCCCATCTTTCCCTTCCTCATCTCTCGTCCGCGAGATTTGAAATAGTTTTTACCCCATCCGAAGCAACTTCTGTTGTTTTACACTGCATTAGCCTCATATTAAGTTGCTGTTTGAATTTAGCGGAGGAGGTAGACCCTCGCCTTCATTTCAAGGGTACATAGGTTAACTTGTACATATAAAACACAAGTTGGTGAATATTTATTCACCTCATCGAATTGCATTAATACCTCAACTAGTTGTTTTACATGGCATGAAGTTCAGTATACTATAGAAGCAAAATGTATTTATCGTGAAAAAATGTATTTTTCTTGAACAAAATGTATTTCTATTGGACAAAATGTATTTCTATTGAACAAAATGTATTTCTCTTGAACAGAATGTATTTCTTTTGAACAAAATGTACTATTTTCGCTAGTATAATCGTTTTACTCCAGACCAGGCCGACACCAGAGTGCAACTCCATAGTCTCCTGAGACTGATGGATGCCTACTACTAATCGTTTCTGTGTTACTTTATGCTGTAACTTCTTTATGTAGTTACAATTAACTTCACAGTGACATAAATTTACTAAGTCAAAACGTTTCTGTAACATAAACATTTGTTCTAGTAACACCTTACTTTGGTTGACTACAGTTGTTACTCTGTAACGAAGCTATACTAGGACAGTGTTTTTATGTTAACACAGTTTCTGTAACAACTAATACAGTTTGTATAACATAACTAATACAGTTTGTATAACATAACTAATACAGTTTGTATAACATAACTAATACAGTTTGTATAACATAACTAATACAGTTTGTATAACATAACTAATACAGTTTGTATAACATAACTAATACTGTTTGCATAACATAACTAATACTGTTTGTATAACGTAACTAATATTGTTTGTATAACATAACTAATACTGTTTGTATAACATAACTAATACTGTTTGTATAACATAACTAATACTGTTTGTATAACATAACTAATACTGTTTGTATAACATAACTAATACTGTTTGTATAACATAACTAATACTGTTTGTATAACATAACTAATACAGTTTGTATAACATAACTAATACTGTTTGTATAACTAATACAGTTTGTATAACATAACTAATACTGTTTGTATAACTGTTTGTATAATGACATAATATAACTAACTAATACTGTTTGTATGACATAACTAATACAGTTTGTATAACATAACTAATACTGTTTGTATAACATAACTAATACTGTTTGTATAACATAACTAATACAGTTTGTATAACATAACTAATACAGTTTGTATAACATAACTAATACAGTTTGTAACATGTTTGTATATAACTAATACAGTTTGTATAACTAATACAGTTTGTATAACATAACTAATACTAGTTTGTATAACATAACTAATACAGTTTGTATAACATAACTAATACAGTTTGTATAACATAACTAATACAGTTTGTATAACATAACTAATACAGTTTGTATAACATAACTAATACTGTTTGTATAACATAACTAATACTGTTTGTATAACATAACTAATACTGTTTGTATAACATAACTAATACTGTTTGTATAACATAACTAATACTGTTTGTATAACATAACTAATACTGTTTGTATAACATAACTAATACAGTTTGTATAACATAACTAATACTGTTTGTATAACATAACTAATACTGTTTGTATAACATAACTAATACTGTTTGTATAACATAACTAATACTGTTTGTATAACATAACTAATACTGTTTGTATAACATAACTAATACTGTTTGTATAACATAACTAATACTGTTTGTATAACATAACTAATACTGTTTGTATAACATAACTAATACTGTTTGTATAACATAACTAATACTGTTTGTATGACATAACTAATACAGTTTATATAACATAATACTTTTGTGTAACAACGAATATTTTCTGTAACACAACTTCTACAACATTTCTGTGTGGCATCTTGGTTGCTAATAACTTTACGAAATCTTAATAAGACAACTCGTATTACCTCCATTACATACTAAGATAAAATACAAAAGTATTTATGTACCTTCTCTAAACTATCTAACATTTTGTAGCAATAAAACAAAACTAATATTACTGTATTTGGTCGTAATAAACTCACTTAACTCATTTTTTCTGTGTCTTATCTGAACTACCTATTTGTAAGATCAGAAAAACTTTACTACTTTACGTGTCATATCTAAATTAACGTTACTGTTTATGTATCTTATCTAAACTACCATTACTGTTTTGTGTAGCAACAGCAAAATTTACATTATTATTTCTGAAAGAACAAGAGGAACAGTGCTCTTTATTTAACAGAGTAAGACGACTTGATGCAATAACAAACTACATTAGTTCAACTTTTTTTATGTATATCTTTATGTAATAACTAGCATAACCGTATAACTAGCATAACGGTTATTTAATAAACTTCTTTATGTAATAACTAGCATAATGTTTTGTAACAAGTGCCACTTTTTGTAACATATCTTTATGTAAAGACTAGTAAGTCTCATTTCTTTGTTACACCTCTAAGTAAAACAAGCTATTACAAAGGACATGAGGAGTTACTCGTTATCAATGTACAACTCAAGATAACGCATAGTGCGTTAACTAATAAAGAATAATATGACTATCAGAAAAAAGGTTTTATGTATAAGTGTTCTTTGGACAATATTACTGAAACGCTGTCCACATATTTTCTTCAGCATTATCAATGACATATTTACCCAGACAATATAAACAAATTTAATACATGTCCATCCTAACTCATCCATATTAACCTAAACAACTCATCCGTCTTATTACACAATCAACTTAATATTTGAATGTGTGATTGTGTTCTCTCAACATTTCAATATCATTTTAATACAAATTTAACTCATCTGCATAACTTCTCTTATACATGATTATATATTTTCTTGTTCTATACATATCCATATATTTTCTTTACGCATCATCACAGTAAAAGTATTATTTATATCATAACAGCGTTTGTCACATTGTAGATAAATATTACCTCAGATCCTCTCCTTCTCGCATGCACAAACTTTCTCAAAACATATACACTCCTACATAATTTTACACAAACTTACAAACAAATTTGCACAAGCACTTACACGCCTAACAACAGCACCTGGGATCCATTTAAGCTACAATGAGCAGCCATATCAGGACACTAGGTTCCAAAAGCCACATAACGAATGGATTTTTACACGAGGGACCAACTAGTACTGAACCCACACAATTACATTATAATTACTTTTCGTAATGGCTCCTGAGGGCTAAATGAGGACTCTTCAGGATGTATTATTATACGCACCATGATGATTCGTAAAGTTAACACCGAGGTTAATAGCATAGTTAACACGATACATTTATTTGAACAAAGCACGAGGTTAATGTAGTGTGGTTGTCTAGCAATTATGAGGATTAAGAAAGAATAGTTTTTTCTCTTCAGCACTCTCTCTTTCTCTCTGTCTCTCTCTCTCTCTCTCTCTATGTCTCTCTCTCTCTCTCTCTCTCTCTCTCTCTCTCTCTCTCTCTCTCTCTCTCTCTCTCTCTCTCTCTCTCTCTCTCTCTCTCTCTCTCTCTCTCTCTCTCTCTCTCTCTCTCTCTCTCTCTGCTAACAAAGTGTGTCGGGCCGGCGTGGTTCGGCCAATATAAATCGCCGACTAAATAGGGGAAGGAAATTGACAATTTTCTTGTCGAAATCTTGACGCCCCAACATCCAAGGACGAACTCCTGAGACGTGGGGTGGGGTATGGGGGGGATGAAGGTGGCAGAGGAACCTCCAGCACGATATATTGGCTTGCGGGTTATATTTGGAGCCAATATTAACCTCAGGGAGAACATACTCGACCGACGGACATATTCTTCCTGAATGTGTAATTACGTTCTGTCGACCGTTCCTGTTTTCATAACTGCTTCATATGCACAATTTAAATTGAGTTTTTGCCTCATCTGAGTAATTTAGTTAGGTCTAATTGCCACACAGAACATTGAGGGTGCTGCTCATATTCAATGTTACGCAGGATAATGAGAACACTGTTCATATTCACTGCCACACAAGAAGATGAACACGTCGCTCATGTTCACTGATCTAGATAACAATGATAGTGCTACGCATGTTCAAAACATGATAGAGCAGAGGATGCAACATTAAGCAAAAGAACTAAACTATAGTTCTTCACAATTATATCTCTTGCAAAAGACTACAATTTGGAACATTATGCAATATGAATATATATGTGCACGTTTTCACAATTCTATATTTAACTTTTAATTGTTCAATTCACACACACAGTGACCTACAGTTTCGGGATGTCTTGCAGACATGTCAACAAGGTGAATTACACACACACACACACACACATACACATATATATATATATATATATATATATATATATATATATATATATATATATATATATATATATATATATATATATATATATATATATATAATATGGGTATATCTACATTTACTTTTACTAGGATTTCCAAGAAATCCTAGTAAATATATATATATATATATATATATATATATATATATATATATATATATATATATATATATATATATATATATATATATATATATATATATAATAAAATTTATATCTATAGTAGTGTACCTTTTCATGATTAGATTAATACATATTGAAAATTTCAATTATCAGTTGAAAATTGGTGTAACCGAATATTTAAAATTTCTACAAACTGAAAGATAAGTGTAGTAATATAAACTGCATGTATTGCAAATACATATTTTATAGATAGAGACATGTAGCAGGTCACATGATGTAATGAAACGGTGAACAATAGTGTAGTGTAAGATAAGATCGTACGATATGTTGAAAATAGTCTCCCACAGATACGGTATAGTGAAGATAGTCACCCACAGATACGGTATACTGAAGATATTTACCCACAGATACGGTATACTGAAGATATTTACCCACAGATACGGTATACTGAAGATACTCACCCACAGATACGGTATGCTGAAGATACTCACCCACAGATACGGTATACTGAAGATAGTCACCCACAGATACGGTATACTGAAGATACTCACCCAGAGATACGGTATACTGAAGATACTCACCCACAGATACGGTATACTGAAGATACTCACCCAGAGATACGGTATACTGAAGATAGTCACCCACAGATACGGTATACTGAAGATACTCACCCAGAGATACGGTATACTGAAGATAGTCTCCCACAGATACGGTATACTGAAGATACTCACCCACAGATACGGAATACTGAAGATAGTCCCCCACAGATACGGTATACTGAAGATAGTCTCCCACAGATACGGTATACTGAAGATACTCACCCACAGATACGGTATACTGAAGATAGTCACCCACAGATACGGTATATTGAAGATAGTCTTCCACAGATACGGTATACTGAAGATAGTCTCCCACAGATACGGTATACTGAAGATACTCACCCACAGATACGGTATACTGAAGATAGTCTCCCACAGATACGGTATACTGAAGATACTCACCCACAGATACGGTATACTGAAGATAGTCTCCCACAGATACGGTATACTGAAGATAGTCTCCCACAGATACGGTATACTGAAGATAGTCTCCCACAGATATGGTATACTGAAGATACTCACCCAGAGATACGGTATACTGAAGATAGTCTCCCACAGATACGGTATACTGAAGATACTCACCCACAGATACGGTATACTGAAGATAGTCACCCACAGATACGGTATATTGAAGATAGTCTTCCACAGATACGGTATACTGAAGATAGTCTCCCACAGATACGGTATACTGAAGATACTCACCCACAGATACGGTATACTGAAGATAGTCTCCCACAGATACGGTATACTGAAGATAGTCTCCCACAGATACGGTATACTGAAGATACTCACCCACAGATACGGAATACTGAAGATAGTCCCCCACAGATACGGTATACTGAAGATAGTCTCCCACAGATACGGTATACTGAAGATACTCACCCACAGATACGGTATACTGAAGATAGTCACCCACAGATACGGTATATTGAAGATAGTCTTCCACAGATACGGTATACTGAAGATAGTCTCCCACAGATACGGTATACTGAAGATACTCACCCACAGATACGGTATACTGAAGATAGTCTCCCACAGATACGGTATACTGAAGATAGTCTCCCACAGATACGGTATACTGAAGATAGTCTCCCACAGATACGGTATACTGAAGATAGTCTCCCACAGATATGGTATACTGAAGATACTCACCCAGAGATACGGTATACTGAAGATAGTCTCCCACAGATACGGTATACTGAAGATACTCACCCACAGATACGGAATACTGAAGATAGTCCCCCACAGATACGGTATACTGAAGATAGTCTCCCACAGATACGGTATACTGAAGATACTCACCCACAGATACGGTATACTGAAGATAGTCACCCACAGATACGGTATATTGAAGATAGTCTTCCACAGATACGGTATACTGAAGATAGTCTCCCACAGATACGGTATACTGAAGATACTCACCCACAGATACGGTATACTGAAGATAGTCTCCCACAGATACGGTATACTGAAGATAGTCTCCCACAGATACGGTATACTGAAGATAGTCTCCCACAGATATGGTATACTGAAGATACTCACCCACAGATACGGTATACTGAAGATAGTCTCCCACAGATACGGTATACTGAAGATACTCACCCACAGATACGCAACAGTTGAACAGTTGTAAGATAAAAGATAGACATTATAGGCTCTTGTCCGGGAGTTGATCATAATAGAGCCTGAGACCATTACCAAGTGATACGTGATCGTAGTAATAATAATAATAATAATAATAATAATAATAATAATTACAATAATAATTCATTGTGTCGAGGGACAGGAAGCCAGAGTGTATTCTTACAGTTTAGGCTTATATCGAGGTCCCCCCCCCACCCAAAGGTTGAAATACTGACCCCGCCGAGGAGGCCACCCAATAACAAGCTGACTAACTCTAACTTACCGCTAGGTGAACAGATGCATTAGGTGATATGCTCCCAACCATTTCTAACCACGCCTAGGATTCGAACCCGAAATTCTGGATTGTGCGTTGAGAACGAACCCGACTGTACTACCCTTTGTGAGTGAGAGAGAGAGAATAGTGAGGAAAGGTCAGTTGGTGTTGCCCTCACTGGGAGATGAGTGAGGGGGTCGCTGGGTGGAGTGAGGGAGCAGTAAGAACAGTAAATATATAGACGAGTATGTGGAGTCATCAGGACGTGTTAGATGAGTCGGGTAGTAGCGGGTGTGTGGACCTTAGTGGCCCTCCAGACAACAGCCTTCATCCTCAAATGCACAAATCCACGTCTGGGATGATCCCGGACGCAGGTTCGAATCCTCGTCACGGCCCTTGTGGATTTCATCATTTGATGCATCACGCTATTGTGATTTATGTGTAACTTCATCCTCAAGCTGTCACGAGTCCAGCCACACCCTCCTCCAAGACGGGGTTGGCGCAAGAAAGAAAACTCTGGGAATCAAATACAGGTAAATTACAAATATAAAGTGAAGAGGAACGACAGATATAAAGGAGCATGACAATATAGGTATGGTAATTGTCAGGAGAAACCACCAAGCCATCACGACTATATAACACTTGGATGGGGTCAGGATAAGGATTTGGGATGGGATGGAGGGAAGGAATGGTACCCAACCACTTTGACGGTCAGGGGTAGAACGCCGACCTGCATGAAGCGACACCATTGCTCAACATATATAAAAAGATTAGTTAAACAAAAAACTGCAAAGAAAAGAGCAAGAATTAAGTATACACGAGAAATTGCTAACGCGTCAAGAAGAAATTAGATGGTGGAGAGATTTCTTTACAATTCTGACGCTCGAGAGTCTTGAAAGACACGCAAATGTCCCCAAGATTGGTTTGGCTGGCGTGAGAAGAGTGCCAGTGGGTGCCAGAGGCTCCCTGACGGTAGCTCCACTCCAGAAATAAGCCCAGGCATTCACAAGCTGAAGTACTTGATGATTTCAAGATTTGATATGATGGAGAAGATATGATTATGTGTAGCAGAGGGAATGAGTGCACAAACGTTGCCAGAAACAACGTACAGCAACACTGTGGCACCAGAGAATAACGTACAGCAACGCTGTGGCACCAGAGAATAACGTACAGCAACACTGTGGCACCAAAGAATAACGTACAGCAACACTGTGGCACCAGAGAATAACGTACAGCAACGCTGTGGCACCAGAGAATAACGTACAGCAACGCTGTGGCACCAGAGAATAACGTACAGCAACACTGTGTCACCAGAAACACTGAATCAGGAGATTGAAAACCAGAGACTGATCCCAGACGACTTAGTGAGGGAAGGCACCGGACATGATCCAGGACAGTTATCACTACTTCACTGTTAATTCATATCAGTGAGCCAATTATGTTGCTTTTGCACTGACACCTTAATTAATGTACTAAACATTCCTTAATCCCGGTTCTTAGTCTGTCCCATATCCCTGCTCTTAGTCTGTCCCATATTCCTGCTCTTAGCTAGTCCCATATCCCTGCTCTTAGTCTGTCCCATATTCCTGCTCTTAGCTAGTCCCATATCCCTGCTCTTAGTCTGTCCCATATCCTTGCCTTAGCCAGTCCCATATCCCTGCTCTTAGCCAGTCCCATATCCCTGCTCTTAGCCAGTCCCATATCCCTGCTCTTAGCCAGTCCCATATCTCTCCTCTTAGCCTGTCCCATATCCCTGCTCTTACTCTGTCTCATATCCTTGCTCTTAGCCAGTCCCATATCGCTGCTCTTAGCCAGTCCCATATCCTAGCTCTTAGTCTATCCCATATCCTTGCTCTTAGTCTGTCGTATATCCCTGCTCTTAGTTTGTCCCATATCCTTGCTCTTAGCTACTTTCATATCCTAGCTCTTAGCCAGTCCCATATCCTAACTCTTAGCCTGTCCCATATTCCTGCTCTTAGGCAGTTCCATATCCCTGCTCTTAGCCAGTCCCATATCCCTGCTCTTAGCGAGTCCCATATCTCTGCTCTTAGTCTGTCCCATATCCCTGCTCATAGCCAGTCCCATATCCTAGCTCTTACTCTGTCCCATATCCCTGCTCTTAGCCAGTCCCATATCCCTGTCTTAGCCAGTCCCATATCCCTGCTCTTAGCCAGTCCCATATCCCTGTCTTAGCCAGTCCCATATCCCTGTCTTAGCCAGTCCCATATCCTAGCTCTTACTCTGTCTCATATCCTTGCTCTTAGCCAGTCCCATATCCCTGCTCTTAGCCAGTCCCATATCCTAGCTCTTACTCTGTCTCATATCCTTGCTCTTAGCCAGTCCCATATCCCTGCTCTTAGCCAGTCCCATATCCCTGCTCTTAGCCAGTCCCATATCCCTGCTCTTAATCTGTCCCATATCCCTGCTCTTAGCCAGTCCCATATCCCTGGGTTAGCCAGTCCCATATCCCTGTCTTAGCCAGTCCCATATCCCTGTCTTAGCCAGTCCCATATCCCTGTCTTAGCCAGTCTCATATCCTAGCTCTTAGCCAGTCCCATATCCCTGCTCTTAGCCAGTCCCATATCCCTGCTCTTAGCCAGTCTTAGCTCTTACTCTGTCTCATATCAGTCTTAGCCATATCCCTGCTCTTAGCCAGTCCCATATCCCTATCCCTGCTCTTAGCCAGTCCCATATCCTGCTCTTAGCCAGTCCCATATCCCTGCTCTTAGCCAGTCCCATATCCCTGCTCTTAGCTCTTAGTCTTAGCCATATCCCTGCTCTTAGTCAGTCCCATATCCCTGCTCTTAGCCAGTCCCATATCCTTGCTCTTAGCCAGTCCCATATCCCTGCTCTTAGCCAGTCCCATATCCCTGCTCTTAGCCAGTCCCATATCCCTGCTCTTAGTCAGTCCCATATCCCTGCTCTTAGCCAGTCCCATATCCTAGCTCTTACTCTGTCCCATATCCTAGCTCTTAGTCAGTCCCATATCCCTGCTCTTAGCCAGTCCCATATCCCTGCTCTTAGTCAGTCCCATATCCCTGCTCTTAGGCAGTCCCATATCCTAGCTCTTACTCTGTCTCTTAGCTCTTAGCAGTCCCATATCCCTGCTCTTAGCCCATATCCCTGCTCTTAGGCAGTCCCATATCCCTGTCCCATATCCTAGCTCTTACTCTGTCCCATATCCTAGCTCTTAGTCTATCCCATATCCTTGCTCTTAGTCTGTCGTATATCCCTACTCTTAGCCAGTCCCATATCCCTGCTCTTAGGCAGTCCAATATCCCTGCTCTTAGCCAGTCCCATATCCCTACTCTTAGCCAGTCCCATATCCCTGCTCTTAGCGAGTCCCATATCCTAGCTCTTAGTCTATCCCATATCCTTGCTCTTAGCTAGTCTCATATCCTAGCTCCTAGCCAGTCCCATATCCCTGCTCTTAGCTACTCTCATATCCTAACTCTTAGCCAGTCCCATATCCCTGCTCTTAGCCAGTCCCATATCCCTGCTCTTAGCGAGTCCCATATCCCTGCTCTTAGTCTGTCCCATATCCCTGCTCATAGCCAGTCCCATATCCTAGCTCTTACTCTGTCCCATATCCCTGCTTTTAGCCAGTCCCATATCCTATCTTAGCCAGTCCCTGCTCTTCCCTGCTCTTAGCGAGTCCCATATCCCTGCTCTTAGTCTGTCCCATATCCCTGCTCTTAGTCTGTCCCATATCCCTGCTCTTACTCTGTCCCATATCCCTGCTCTTAGCCAGTCCCATATCCTAACTCTTAGCCAGTCCCATATCCCTGCTCTTAGCCAGTCCCATATCCCTGCTCTTAGCCAGTCCCATATCCTAGCTCTTACTCTGTCCCATATCCCTGCTCTTAGCCTGTCCCATATCCCTGCTCTTAGCCAGTCCCATATCCCTGCTCTTAGCCAGTCCCATATCCCTGCTCTTAGCTCCCATATCCCTGCTCTTAGCCAGTCCCATATCCTAGGCTCTTCCCTGCTCTTAGCCAGTCCCATATCCCTGCTCTTAGCCAGTCCCATATCCTTGCTCTTAGTCAGTCCCATATCCCTGCTCTTAGCCAGTCCCATATCCCTGCTCTTAGCCAGTCCCATATCCCTGCTCTTAGTCTGTCCCATATCCCTGCTCTTAGCCAGTCCCATATCCCTGCTCTTAGCCAGTCCCATATCCCTGCTCTTAGCCAGTCCCATATCCCTGCTCTTAGCCAGTCCCATATCCCTGCTCTTAGCCAGTCCCATATCCCTGCTCCTAGCCAGTCCCATATCCCTGCTCTTAGTCTGTCCCATATCCTTTCCAAACGCTGCATGGCCATACGGAGCCCGCTACCCTGAAAATAACTCGTCAATTAATGGTGTTAGAGAGCCAAAGGATCCCCACCTGGATTTTGTTAGCGAGAAGCCTATACGAGATTAGGCCGGATAAGGGATGCCTGATGCTGTTAAGCCACGAAGGAGAGAATTTAATTTTTTATGGGTATTTTTACATAAAAATGTTATTTTAATTGGTGTTACTTCACCATCCACATGGACTGGTTGGTAGAGCGACGGTCAAAGGCCAAAAAAGGCCAAAAGTCGTTGTACTAGAAAATGGTTGTGGCTCGACTGACATACTGTCCCGTTTTCTGTTTTTGGTCCTCTGGAAGGTTAGGGATAAGGGCACTTTAGTACGACCGTTTCTTGACGTTTGGGAAACCTTAGGAGGACGGACTGCCTTGAGAGT